ACTGTTGGAATGAGACTTTTTCATTCCCGTTTCAACTATTTGCAATAGATTGTGAAGCTCAATCAATGTGGTCTCAGTATTGTTCAAATGATAGGTCAAGATGAGTTGATCATAACTATTGTCCAAGGAGTTGAGCACCATGTCAATGACAAGCTCCTTGTTGAAGTTCACATTGAGCTTCTCCGATCTCTCCACGTATCTCTAGATTTTTTATACATGAGCACACACAAATTCCCCATCTTTCAATTTGAACAACATAAGGGGTTTGACAACTTCATAACGCTCTTGTCTAGTTTTCTTGAGAAACATTTTAGAAAGATCTTGGTTCATGCCACAGGTCCAATAGTCCTCATATGTCTTTTGGAGCCCAGTTGCCATTGCAATAATAATGCAAGCGACCTTTGTAGTGTTGTTAACATGCTTTTATATTCAACCAATTCTTCAGGAGTAGTAGATTCCTTGCCAATTTTTGGGATTGGAATCTTGAGAACATACTCTTTGTTCTTATATCTCAACATCATCTTCAAATTGCGCAACCATTCCATGTAGTTTGGAGCTGTGAGCTTGTCATTTCAGAGGAATGACAACAGAGTGAAGTTATGATTGGGTGGAGGAGGAAGAAGATCACCATTTCCAGACATCTAAAACAAGAGATAAGATTTTCAATTAGTTGATTTATTCCATAATATTTTAACCCAAATAAATATTCAAGACTAGGATCCATAAATACAATTCAAAACTATGAAGAGGGATTCCGTAATCTAATTGGGAATTTATTTTAGGTAGGTAAAGCATTTTACCAATTTTAATCTACCATGAAATTCCTAGATCTTTTGATATTCATCGAAATATTCAATTTGTGACTAGGATGTCGACAATCACAAACAAGAAGTGAATAACCATGCAAACTCGTGTGACATACTCTAGGTCGTTTATGATCTCACATTGATGTGTCGGTTAACAATATACACTCCATCAACAACAATAAATTCGAGTGTGTACTTTTCATTTCATCTTTGAAGTCCCACATTAGTATGTCAGTTAACCACACACGCTCCACCAACGACTTGCAAAGAAATGATGTGTGTTTTCATGGATTAACATACAATTTCAAATTTTTCCTAAAGAAACTAGACTTGTATTTTATAGAATGTTCTAGTACTTTATAGATTATATTTTTAATGTGATTATGTCTATCAAACTCGTTTGGCTAACAACCCTCCACCACACAAAGAAACGGTGGGTGAAAAGGACACACATTCACGGTTATTTTATATGTCGTTTCCTTATACATCTCTTATAGTGTGGCTTCATGAATGAGGTATGTTATTGATTCGACTAACTTTTAGTTATACATATGGTAATATACAATTTTATATATATATATATATATATATATATATAGATATATATATATATATATATATATATATATATATATATATATATGTGGTGTGTGTGTGCGCATAGGGTGTATTTTAAAACTTTTCAAAGCACAAGGTTTAAATTTATTTATCTAGGTTAACAAATAATTAATTAATCTTTTGAAACAGTTATGGATTTAATATTTACCTTTTAGTTACACCATTAATTAAATATTATATAAAAATCCATTAAGGATAATTTCATTTAATTACCTTATAATTAAATATTTAGTTTCCTTATTTACTTCTCAAAATTCGAATTAGGGTTTTAAAATTATTTAGCATTCATTGGTTTGGATTTTATCAGATAAAATAACAGATGATGACTAATAATTAACCTACTAATCGAATTAGGCAAGTAAATTTGGAAAATCAAATTTTTTCGAAAGACGCGTTGCGCCCTACGATTTTTTTTTTCAGGTTTCATCTTGTATGCATTAGTAATAGAAAATCATGGATCTGATACCACTATTGGGGATTTTTAGGTTTTAATTTAATTATACATGCAAAATTTCACTTAACTCTTAATGGTACATGCAAACTAAATTGGATCTATCTATTTTCTTAATTAATAGCAAACATACTTATGAAAGAAAATCTAGAAACCTATGATATCAAAATCATGAGTAAAACCACATACCTTTACTTGAATGGAATCAAGCTAATCAAAACTCTTGAAGCCTCCTTGGAAAACTAGCTCCAAAAGTATGGTAGCCTCTAATGCATCACATCTACAACTCAAGAAACTCTAGGATTGAAGGCGAGATGGGGGAGGAAGGAGAAATTTCGAATTTCTCTTGTAGTTATGTTTAGCCTGAAAATACAAGGGGTATGCCCCCGTATATAGTTGCGTGATAATCCTAGAAACCCTATATTTGAATTTAAGATAATAATATTTCAAAAAAGTAATTATGTAGTTTCCTTTTATCATTTGGAGGCTTCCAGAAACCCTATTCAAGAGCCTTAAAACTGTCCACCATATAGGGAGGTTCTTTATCATCTCTTTTGTTCAACTATTAATCAATTGCAACTCAGCCTTGCACCTTTAATTAATTCTAATTAACCCAGAATTAATTATAATTAATTTTGATTAATCTATAATTAATTATTACTATTTCTAATTATTATATTAATCATATAATATATTAACAAACCATTTCTTAGTTATGAGGACAACACAGAAAGGACTTTACTTTTATTCGTCAACATTATACCAATTTAGTTAGGACCTTAGACACCTTAATCCAATAGATAGTTGGTGTGATATAGTGAAAACAGTTAGTAGCTCAGCTGGAGGTGCTAAGCTGAGATTCGAAAACATTCATGATTTAATACTTGGTGAAGATGTGCGCATACGAAGTGTCAAAAAATCTTCTAGTAGTCTCCTAAGTACCGAAGATAGAGGAATGAAGCCCAACATAAGAGGTAGGGATAGAGGAACATCAAAATCTAGAAAGAGATGTGTACTAAAAAATAGGATAGACATTACATATACAAAGGCAAGGGTCATATCAAGAACTAGTATCTGAAGTCTCTTGTAGATAAAGGCAATAAGGTGATGAATATTGTAGCAGATTCTCAAGGAGATGCACTCATTTGTGAGTTGGAAAGTCAATCGAATCTTGGGTCATGGAATCTAGTGCATCGTTTCACGATAGTTGATCCAAAGATGTAATGCAAAATTACACAAAATACAAAGGGAAGGTCATATTAGTAGATAAAAAGAGCCTATATATTATGGGTGTTGGGGATATGGTCGTTAACACTACTTTCGCTATGGAGTGGACTTTTAAGAATGTTAAGTTCCTTCCAGACTTAAAGATGATGTTAATTTCAGTATGGAATCTTAATGGTGAAGGTCATCATGTTACATTTGGTTCTCATCAATGGAAGGTAACAAATGGAAACTTAAATGGTTGCTAAGGGTCAGAAGCGGGTTACACTTTATATAGTGGAAGTATCTGATGGTGAAGCACATGCTGTTGAATAAGTTGGGGCATTCACTTTATGATACCAAAGACTTGAGCATATGAATGAAAATAGAATAAAGACGCTAGCCTTAAAAAGAAGAATTCAAGATATAAACACTATGCCAGTTGATTTTTTGTAAGCCATGTATTCTTGGCAAACAGAAGAATATTACTTTTCTGAAAACAGGTCATCCTCCCAATACCGGAAAGTTGGAGTTAGTTCATTCGGATGTTTATGGTTTTACTTCAATTTCTTCAGTGGGAGGATCTAAGTATTATGTTACCTTCACCTACAATTGCACACAAAAAGTTTATGTCTATTTCTTAAAGTAGAAGCATGAAGTTTTCAGTGCTTTTAAGAAATGGAACACTATTGTTGAAAATGAAACGAACTCGAAAATCAAGTGTTTCATATTCGATAATGGCTGTGAATACAGTAGCAAAGAATATCTTGATTAATGTGCAAGAAGACGGTTCGGGTGACACCTCAGCAGAATGGAGTTGTTGATATGATACATCGAACATTGAACGAGAGTGCTAAAAGCAAGTCACTGCATATGCATGTTTACCGAAACTATTCTAGGCAAATTCGGTCAACATATATGCATATCGAATCAATAGAGAACCCTCAGTCCTCATACGGTTTTGGAATCTAGAAGAGGAAGGACAGAGTAGTGAGATTTCTCTCAGACACTTGAAGGTTTTCAGTTGTTTCTTGCATATCAAAGTGAAAGACTCGAACAGAAACAAACTAGATACAAAGCCAAAGAAGTGCACATTTATAGGCTACGTGTTGATTTTGTTAACTAGATACAAAGCCAAAGAAGTGCACATTTATAGGCTACGTGTTGATTTTGTTAACCAATTGGAAATCTTATCCTAATCAATTCTAATATTATAGGGTTAAGGAAAAAAGTTTATCTTCTCCTCAAGTAATTCATTATCATAATTTATCAACAGATTTCAATTATCATATTATCTTTTATATTTCTTATTTTTTTTGTAGTACTTGCGATTCAATCAAATCATCTGGATATTAGTGTAATGAATTTCCTATATATATTTTTAATGAAATTAACCCCAAAATTATTACCTTTTTTTCCTTGTCATATACAAGTGGCATTCCAACATGATGGTAGTTGTTGGGGGCCAAAACTAAAAATGCACAAACATCAAAAAGAAATTGTAGAATCGACATAACCCTAACAGCAAGAAAACTTTATGAAACCCAATCCCTTACCAACCATGTGCTCAAAGGCATCCGCTACCAAAACAAATGTAAAAAAGAAACGTACTTCATAATTTCTATCCACCCTTTACTCTACTTTACTTTACTTTACACTTCTATCCATCACTTCCCTGATCTAAAGTTAATCATTTCCAGCTCTAAAGTTCCCTTAATCTTCACCTAATCCACCTTATTATCTTCTTTATCTAATAACAATCATAAAACGCCACGTTTTTACTCCTCGAATCCCAAAAATTTTAGCTCAGAATGGTATAAGATTCTTAACAATTTTGAAGTTCAAGGTGTGTCTTTTATATATATATATATATATATATATATATATATATATATATATATATATATATATATATATATATAGTTAATGGTAAAAAACGAATGCATGTGGACCATATATGATGTATTCTTTATACAAGAAGCATATGGGGCATCTTTTTCTTCTTTCTTTTCTGATATAACTAAAACAGAATGATTCAATTCTGTTAATGATAGACATGGGTATCACTGGAGAACTCGTGAGGAGCGTCTTCTCCAAAAATCGATCTTTTGGAACTACCCATGACACCAATGTGAGTTCCAATTCTTGATTTTTCATGTAATTTATCTTAACTTTCTTGAAGAACATCTTCATATAAAAATAAATTTATGTGATTTTCATTGAATCATCAGGTTATGAGAACCAATTCGGTTGAAAGAAAGAGATGGTCGTCTGTGAGATCGTATCTTTGTGGCGATGAATTCAATTCGGTTTTAGCAGAAGAAGATTCGGCTTCTAGAAGATTCTCGAGTTCAGTTTTTCTTGAAGATTACTCTGGTTCTGCAAGAACTTCAAAAGCTACTGTTTTTAGTTCTCGAATTGACGATGGGTCTGAAGCCACAGTCACACAACCCATTTCAGAAAACTCAAATGAAAGTTTACACGACTACAAAAAGACTAATTTGCCCTTCGAACATGATGCTGCAGTTGTCATTCAATCAGCTTTTAGAAGCTTTCTGGTAATTTCACAAATTTCACAAACCAGTGTTCATCTTTTTCTTGATCTTCGTGTCGAAATGCTTATGAGTTTTGTGAATTTTCAGGCTAGGAATCGGAATGAAAAAGAAAGAGTTGAATCGGTGAATGTTTGTGATTTAGAGGTTGCAGTGGCCACCGGAAGTCCTGGGAGGGCGTCGATAGCGACGTCGGTGGAAGTTCAAACGGGAAACTCGGTGGTGGAAGTTAACGAAGGTTGCAACAGTTTTGCTCATCGTATGTCAAATCAAAAAGGGGCCAAAGTACAAGTGTCGAAGCTTAAGGTACATATACAGAATCAAAGCTTCCTATACGTTAAATCTTCCATTGCCAGTTTAGAAGATTATATATTTACCATATAAGTAAATAAAAAGTTATTTCAGAAAATTAAATGATATTTTTGAAAGTTAAAATATTTTGTAGAATGAAAAGTAGTGTTAGTTTCTTAAATCTGTTAAATACTTAAATTGCTTTTAGAAACATATGATTTTTATTGATTAAAATAAAATATATTATTTAAACAGTAAAAGATACCCAACACATAGTATTTTTATGTATATTACCTAAAATAATTCCAAATGTTATTGGTTATTTTAGAACTTAATCTTTGAAGTAACAAAATGGTATATATAACTGAGACTAAGTTGCTAATAATTTGCACCATTGGTTTAAATTACAAATACAATGGTGAAGTGTTTTTTATTTTATTTTATTTTATTTTTGCACCACTAGTTGCCAATTCAATGAGAAATGAATAGCAAAAACGTGTCCCGTTATATTTTTATTTCTTTATATGAAACATTATATTAGAGATTAAATTAATATAAATACATACAACATATTTAATATTATTTCATCTTTAAAAAAAATCAATATAAACGTTTCTAACATTTTCATATTTATATTTAAATATTAAAAATGTTTTATATTTAACTGTTATAACATTTCTCACTTTCTATATTTTATATTTGTTTAACAAAAATAAAAATACATAAAAACACAAAGTTGTAAAAAAATATTTAAAACAAAAAAGAACCATGAAAAAGCTACTTTGATAAAGTGTTTGCAAATGCACAACCACTTTCATTCCAAATAAGGAAAGTGCTCACAATGATAATTAAGCTTTTCCATATTTAGAGAAATTTTTTTTTAAGAAACATCATTGTATTTGTGGATGTCTAAACTCTATCAAGATGCTATTGGGTTAATTTATAACTTTAGGGCTTTAAGTATTACAAATTGTATATCTTAGTAGTAGCCTAGTAGGCCTTCTTTAATGTGTGGGCTACAATAAACTTCACCATGATTTGATCAATTGGTTATTGGGCTACTCTTTAACATTGGGCTTTGAGTGTTACAACTCTCATGAATTTAACTAATATCAAAATAATTATGTTTTTTAGCAGGAAGATTGGGACGATAGCACAGTGAGTAGCAACATAACAAAAATGAGGATTCAAAATAGACTCGAAGCATCTACTAGACGCGAAAGAGCACTCGCGTATGCTTTCTCACAACAGGTCACATTCAACTACTAAAGTATCAAATAACAAAAACAAATAACACAATAAGAAATAGCAATGTATCTAATTTCTTTTATTTATTTATTGTAACATTTTATTTTCGTTTCTTCTCGTTACAACACTAAATATTGTGAAACATAACCAAATTATAAAATTGTCATCCAATTATAAAGAAATTTTCATTGTCGTAATCGCGTAGATTTTTCAAAATACAGTGTCTTAATAAGAATCAAACTAAAAAGTACATTATCGTAATAGAAAAAAAAATGAAAGTAGAATGCAATAATAAACAAATAAATGAAAATACCCTTTTCTTTCTTGAATTGAATTTTGTTATTGATCTTGTTTATATAGTTAAGGATTTGCTCAAAGAAGAAGCAAAATGTGAGAAGTGGGAATGATTCAGAAACAAATATGAGTTGGAGTTGGCTTGAAAGATGGATGGCTACTCGACAACATGATACTTCTTTTGGGGACTTAAGCAAACAATTTGAAGAGCTAAATGTGAATCAAAAGTTAATGGTGAAAAAGAAAGTTATATCAGATTTGGCGGGGGAAGAGAAGGAAAGCTGTGGATCAAATGAAGTTTCTATCCATTTTGATAATGTTTCTTTGAGCTCAAAAACAGCTGAAAAATCTTACTATAAGCCCACTCGAAACAGGCTCAAGGCAACAAGGCAAAAATCCTCAACGGGTTATAAGGAGTATTCTAAGGTAAAAAGACCTTTGATTAATCAACATTTTGGTATGTGTATTAATGTATGTGATGATTGATGATTATACTGTTTTATGAAACAGATGAATAGGCCAGGAGGAGTAAGAGAAATTAGATGTGAAGATCAACAATGACTCCAACGAGTTATGACTTTTATATATTAATAATATTTACTACTTTGAAACCATTAATGTTGTGGTAAATTTGTATAAATATAAGGTTTTGATTAGGATGTGGGTTTAAACTGTATTTGTATTTGGAATGATAATATTTTAATTCTTAAATTAGGTGTTTCTTTTTCTATTTGACATAATAATATTGTGAAGTTTATTTGGTTTAAGTATTATCTTAAAAGTAGTATTTAACTTGAGTATTAAGCCAATTTATTGTTGGAAAATTGGTTTTAACCAATTTAAAAAATGGATTTTTTTCCACTTTTAACACGAATTTCAAACCCTAAATATAAGCAAAATGAAAAAATGATTATATGTTCATGTTCCTCCGTGATACATTCGTTTTGATATATCACATATCCAAAATGGATTGAAGATGAATGAGAAAGTGTATGTTGAATTGAGGTGTTCGGATTAACAAATGAGTTAAGTGGATTTTATTTCATCCCACATGGGTCGGAATATAAAAAAATGAGTTTATAACTACAAATGTTTATTAGCCTCGTAAGTTTTATGACATAAAGTCTCTCTCTTGTGCACGCAGAAGATTGTAAATCTGAACCAGATTGGGGCTGAAGGGGGTTGTAAGTCTCATTCATCTTCAATCTCTCTTGTATATGCATGGGGGTTCACTAAATTTGTGAGCGTGCGGCCTACGGTTACGAATGCACCATCCGTTTACCAGAAAAGCGTAGCTCTTTTTTGCAATTTTTTTTCTTTTTGTAATTGAAAAAAAAAAACACAAAATATCAGTTATAATCTTGTGATTAGTTTTTCGTCAGTTACATGTTTTAAGTCTCATTCATCTTCAATCTCTCTTGGGCGCGCATGGAGTTCAATAAACTTGCGAGCGCGCAGCCGGGGTTACAAATGCACCACCGGTCAACCAAAAAAGTTTAGGTCCTTTTTGCAAATATTTTTTTTTCTTTTTGTAACTGAAAAAGAATCATTAATTATCACATTAATCACAAAATATCATTTAAAATCTTGTGATTAAATTTTTGTCAGTTACATGTTTTGGTCCCTATAATAGAGCTCTTTGGTCATTGATTAGACACACCAGATAAACCAATCTTTCCTTCTTCTCTGTTGATTCTACTTCTTCTTCTTCATATTGCTGCAATCAAGGTACTTTCTGGCCAAGTGAAGGTTCGAGTGATCTTGAAGAATCACTTACCATTGTTGCATCCTGGGAAATAAACACTCATATTTACTTCGCGAAACTTCGAAGAAGCATAACTTCTTCATATGAAATCGGATTTAAGTGATCCTTATATCCACGAGATAGTCATTACGACTACTGCATCTTTAGCTATGATTATCTATTATATCTTAAATGTATATCCTGAATTTGTGGGTGTTACTCTATACTAATGTGAAAACCCAATCTGCAAGATATTTTCATTTATACATGAGTTTTGCTTTATGTTTTTCATTTTAAGTTAATCATGAATTACACTAAAATGGAAAGTTTAGTTGTGAATAGGGTATCATCTGAGGATAATCCTGTTGATCCATTCACGAAGCCATTATCTAAAGAAAAACATGATGGTCATGCAAGGACCATTGGCGTGATACTAAATAGTGACATGATGTAATAGTTTAGTTGTTTAGTTTGAATTATTATGACACATTTTAATAGTGTGAATTGTAACCATTTTGATGTTTATTTCATAGCGGGCTTTGCACGTGTACGCCCAGCGTACTCCTCAGGTACACAACGTGTATGCTGTTCAGACCCAAAACCCTAGTTTAAGGGTTTTCACCCTATATAATCATCTCTTTGGCCCCAAAATCTTCACCTTCATCGGCCTCCACCTGGAAAACGTCCCTCTAGCTAACCCTAAGTGAGAAGAGTGAACTTTCAGCTCATTTGTGTGTATTGGTGTTGTTCTTGAAGAAGAAGAAGGTGGTAAAAGGACCTTGGAGCATGAAAGAAGTTTGGATCTGGGATTCACTCATTGTTAGAAACCTCCAGGAGGTAAAAAGCCCCTAGCCTGATCATCTTATCTTATAGATCTAGCAATTTATTCATTTAGGGTATTTTTGGTCCCAATTATGGTGATTATTGAGCATGACATGCTCTTAACCATATAAGTCGTCCTTTCAGACCCAATGGGGGAGTCTTGAGTCATAAAAATGAGGTCTTGATGCTTAGTTCCTCCCGATGCATGCTCTAGAATGGTATTAAGGTGTTAAGAAGTTGGGATTTTGTGTATTAAGCACTTAATGGGCATGCAAAGTCATAAAGTTGGAAACTTTATGACTCTCAGTGGTATTTTGACCTTGGATTTGCAATTGGGACGTGAGAGCTTAATGCATTAAGCTATTATTGAGGAAAAAGATTATGTACGTACGTCGTGTGTAACTCAACATACGCCGCGCGTATGTGGTCAACCTCCCAGTTTCAGTTAAAGCCTGGATACGCGCATCGTAGGAGCTGAGTAGACCGAGTTGACTCATTGACCTTGACCTTTAACCAGAGTTTTGACCAAGTTTGACCTGCGGGTATTTTGGGTATTTTGAGCTGATTAATTGAAATTAGGTCCTTGGTCTTGGTTAATCGATAGTTGAGCCGATTTGCGAGTATTTTGGGTATTTAAAGAAAGACTTGTTATAAAAGGTTATTCTCATGCTCATGTCATTGACTATGGTCCTTATCATACTCATGACATTGACTATGATCAAACCTTTTCACAAGTAGCTATGATTATATCAACGATGATATTATTTCTATAAATTCATATTCTCAATATGAGATATAGCAAATAGATTTCAAGAAAGGCCACTTTTCTTAATAGAAATCTACTAGAAGATATCTATATAGATTAGGCTGGACGTTTTCTTAATCCATGTTATCCTAAAAAAATGTGTAGAGCTTGAGATCCACTTGTGGATATAAATCAAACATCTCTATGTTGCAATCATCATTTTAATGTAAAATCATAAGGTATGCTTTTATATCAAAATAAATAGAACATGTATGTTTACTAAGAACTAGTGGGAGCATAGTGACATTCCTAATCTTGTATGAAGAGACATACATAATCATAAGAGATTACATTTTGACCATGCCAGGGTTTTCACCTTGACTCGAAATGTGTTTCTAAAATAAAAGACTTAGGAAGGACAATATACATTCTTGGAATGTAAAATCTACAGAGATAGATAAAATGAATGTTAAAAGTTTTATATATTGACAATATCTTGAAAGATCAAGATGGAAGATTCCTTTGGAGGAACCTTAGCATTGTCGCATGACATTAAGTTTGAGCCAGCCTCAAAAGGACCTAGCTCATAGGTATGAACTAGTTAAAATGATTTATATTCGATTTGCTTGGCAAATGAATCCATCATTTATGTCATATTATGCATAAGACCTGGTATATGATAATATTATGAGCATATCATAATATACCAACTGAATACATGGTTAAGTCACCGGATGTTTATAGAAACATTCTAAGAGTATTTGGAAGAACTAAGAGAATGTATATGAGACATATAGTTTAGAATAAAATCTTCATGTAAAGAGCTACATAAGATTCTAATTCTAAGCGAATGTATATATTTATGAATTATAATTGGATTATGACTTCATTGAGGGATGAAGAGTAAGTTTAGTTGGAATGAGATCCAAGCAAAACAAAATGACACAATATACTACAAAATAAGAATACACTACTTTAGAAGTTTAAATCTAATATGAATGGATGAATGAGTTCATTGAAAAACTATATTGATCTCTGCCATTCAAGGATCACATAGAAATATTTGTGACTTCGAGAGTATACTTAATCAAGCTAAGAGACTCTATGTCATGAAAGAACATCAATCATATACTCCAAGATATTTAACTATACCTAGAGTAAAGTCAAATATGGAGATGATAGTATTCGCAGAATTCACACAAATTAAGTTTAGTCGAACCCATTAATAAAATCCTTCTTCTGAGCTAAGTATGAATGGTCATATTTCAGCTGTGAGACTTAATTGTTCTAGAAATGGGATTTTGATTTGGATTTAATATTTGGATATTGGAACATTGTAACAACAACTATTATATAATGTTTTGATATACTGGGATATGATCATAACATCAATACTTGTTGTGTTCTATATTAACATGTTTAATCCATGAATAATCTTATTATTCTAAAGGTTCATAGTCGGTTATAATTGTGGGAGCAATTATGAAGGAAGACTAATATAAATTGGATTGGTTGATTTTTACTGGATGAAGGTATGTAATGGGTTGTAACCAAGTTTCATAGGTATTTGTCAGAGAACTGGTACTAAACTGACTTGCATCAAGATCATCTCATGGATCACTATCATGAATGATACTTGATTAAAAGGTACTATCTTTGTATCCTTAACACCTGAGATACATAGTGGGACTTAAGTGTAGGGAGTACTATGCTTAGATACGGTCAAACACTGGTCCTTAACCGGGCACTTATAAAAGCCATTTTCAGGTATGGTATAAACTATGCAAGAGGCTTATGTAGTCAAGATTGGATTTGTTCCTCTTATGTGTTGAGAGTTAGACATCTAAGGCGCCTTACCAAAAGTTAAACACCATATGCGATTGATTGCGATATGTATCTCATGTTTAACATGATGTCTATGACAAAGCGATAACTGATAAACTTACCTTATATACACTAATTGTAGCTTGGAGCTTTTTAGGAATTGGGAGTTGATAGAATGACACAAATTCGTATGTTGATGGGGGCAGTGAAATGTTGCTAGAAGTGAGTTATAAACTCATTTTTTTAATTATGTTTGAACCTCAATAGTCGGTCACATTCTACGAAGTGAGTGAGTGATTTAAAACTGTTATGAGTATTGGTTGATTGGCCAAATTGATTTGGGTGTTGCAATAGAGATTGCACTGATAGTTATGAGTCCTTAAAAATAGAGATTTTAAGTATCGGAACAACACGCACTTAGAGATTACTTCATGGATTTAGTCATAGGTAATTCTAAAATGTCAATATCTTTTATTCTTCAAACCTATATGCATATGGGTATTTGTTTTCAAAATATGTTTTGCATTGGTATGCTCCAACGATATTCATAATTAGTAGTAATTAAGGGTATGTCGTATGATTAAATGAGGAGAAATAAACTCTGTAGTCAGCGTTTATTTGTTCCTTCTCGT